GGTACCGGGCCGCGAGAGTTGAGGCTCAGGTGTGAAATGTATGGTTTTCAGGGTTTTTATCGGTTTTCAGCGTTATTTTGTTATCGTTTTTATCGTTAACTCAGTTTTCCTGGGTCTTTTCACGTGTGTTATGAATAAATCTTCTTTTTTTTTGGTACCATACTAGTTTTATTTTGTTGTATTTATCCGCGACACTTTAAAGGCTGGTCCGTGAAAATATTGTCGGGCATAAACCGGTCCGTGGCACAAAAAAGGTTGGAGACCACTGAGTTAGAGCATTAAATCAATCAAATTTCTCAGTCTCATCATTTCATATCGTGTCGTTGTATCCCCATCCTTTAAATAAAGGCTTTAACTGTAATGTTGTACACAGTGACCTAGCTTTGTCAGGAAATGGCTAACCCAAACCTTTTACTGATGGAAGACTTAAACACATTTCATTATTACAGTCGCTCTAAGTTAATTCAATGCTGTTAATAGAACAGACTCTGGAGGTCGTTCATGTTATTTATTTTATCTGAGTGTAGCTAATTGCATGTCTACAGTGTGTGACGTGGCCCGGGAGCACCGGTGTGGTGATGGGCGCTGCGTGTCCAGAGACTGGCTCTGCGACGGGGACCACGACTGTCTGGACAAGAGCGACGAACTCAACTGCTGTGAGTGACAGCTAGCTTAGCTTTGAGACATCAGTCATGTTTATAACTGGTGATTGATCTGAAGTTGTGTTCAAATTGATATTTAATTGATTAGGAAAATAGTAGCCATGGCAACTCCTGACTTTTTCCATAGACGACCACAGAAGGATTTAAACTAAGAAATGAGAGGTTTAACTTTCTTGATTCACTCATAATTAAACAATTTACACTTTGTTTGCTGCTGGTTGTTCCCATTTTCACAGCTCGCTGAGCTCAGCAACACTTTCCAGTGGTGCACACTGCCCTCTGGTGGTGCTTTCATGTGGTGCACTACCAAAAAACAGCATCTTTGGATCAGTTAAAAGAATAAAAGAGGAACTGCAGCAGGAACAAATGCACATATAGATGAAAGGACTGAATAGTGAATGTGAATATAGCTTTAGCCTCACATGGTTTCCACTCCGAGGGAAACGTGACAACTTGTGAGCGCTCAGCTGATTTACTCTGAGTTACTGCTGTGTCACGTGTTACTATAACTCATCAGAAATGACAGTAAGTGTGTGTGTGTTTGCAGCTTGTAAGAGTCAGGGTCTGCTGGAGTGCAGGAACGGTCAGTGCATTCCTTCTGCGTTTCGCTGCGACGGCGAGGACGACTGCAAAGACGGCAGCGATGAAGACAACTGCACCGTAGACCAGAGTGAGCAAAATCACACTAAAAGAAAGTTCAGACAAACGAACCTTTTGACCATAAAAGCTGTTATAAAAGACAGAAGATCATTCAGATGAACTCAAACATCTCACACACTGATTAGTGACTTGGTAAATCTTAGATCTCTAATGACTAATAATTCATTTTCACAGCTAATCACATCCTAATCGTCACCACAACACAACACTTTTGATTATAAAGCAGCTTTCCTGCACAGAGGTAGATTCTTAAAACTTAAAACGAGTTACAGGAGCCAAACTGTTATATATACTGACTGATAGCTATCAGGTCCTTTTTGATTGGTCTGACTCACTTGGTAAAGTCTCACCTTCACTGTAGCATCTTACCTGTGTGTGTGTGTGT